CGTCTGATACCACTTTATAACACCCTAGAAATTCCTATCTTTTAAAATACTTGTTTTGCCCTGTTTAGAACTTTAAATAGGAACATCTAAGATATTACCGCCACCGTGAAAAAGGCTAAGGCAACTATCAAAGACACACAACGAAAGACTCTCATTTAAAATATTTTAAAACGACTCTACTTAAAAAGTCAACTTACGAAAGTAAAGTCAAACCAAAGTAAAACAAATTCAAACCTACAACTTGGAACCATTGTAGGCCCATAACAAAACAATCCAACTTAAAAGCCTTCATGTTAGTCTCGCAATAGAAATATTATAGAAAATATAAAAGCAATAACACATCATGTACTTATGGAAACTAGCATGATTCACTCTTCACTCATGCCCATCATGAATATGCCTCACCACCTGAAAAGTTTCTCTCTACTTGTTTCTACTACTCTCCATTAAAAATGGGTCATCATTGAGCCAAGGTAAAGACAAGACCAACAAACACAGAAACACACAATCAGCAAAGCTGAGTACATAATCGTATTTAAACACAGTAACATGCATTTACCTATCAACACAGAACTTACCTCGTTGAACCTGTTTTTTCAAGCATACAATATTCAACAAAACTTCTCAACTAAGTAACTAAGGGCTTGTTTGGCATCATTTTTGGTTTTCGGTTTTCTTTTTTTTTAAAACCAAAAACTAAAAACAGGAAACAAGAAAAAGTGTTTCCATTTTTCTGTTGTCAGTTTTCAAAATTATCATGATTTTAATAAGTTTAAATAATTTTTGATTCATTATGGGGCATATATCATATACTTTTAAAAAACAAAAAACCAAAAAACAGAAAACCACAGCAATGCCAAACGAACCCTAAATAATTTATTTAGTTTTGATTACGCATCGAACAGGTTTCCCCCCTAACCTGCCCCAATAAAGAGGTACTAACACGGAAACTAACTATGCCAGTATAAAAGAACCACTCGTAAGTGGCGGAATTCCTACGCATAATAATAAAAGGAATGTACAACGTCATGTACTCCATTAGAAGTTATGGTAAAAAATAAAGTCGCATAACTCCCCCTATATGTTCATATTCAAGGTATATACGTTCCAAGAGTTTTGGTGCGTAATCTTTTTCACTTTACGTTCTTTACAATTCATTAAACTTAGCTTGGTGATGACTCTCAAATCATAACAACATCAAACATCATGATTATTCAAACAATTAAACACTTTAATTTAATTATTAAATAATTAGTGACCACATAATATTTAATGTTGAACCCTTTTTAAATCTACCTCGGTGTCAAAGACACCTTAAACGCTTAATGCGCCAAAAATCATATCCCTCAGTGTTAAAAACACCTTAAGTGCGCTAAGGCACCAACATCTAGACACTTACATAGCTCCTTTCTCATGGTTAAAGCATCAATGAAAATTATATGAACCATAATAAAATTCCCTTTTCATATTCCAATCCAAATTAAACATTTAGTTTAATTAAACATGTTTTCTATCATGCCATAAATAAAAGTGTGGTTCATATTCAACATTCCAAACTATTATTTACCAACCATTAATCCATCACAAATAAATTATGCTTCATAATTCAATCACCAATAACAACCAAATCACAATTTCCATTCCAAATCTAGCATGATACTACTTGTAATCAATTAAACACATTTAGCATGCTACTACATCATAAAAATTATGCTAAGTACGCGAACGTACCTTGAATACGATCTTAATATCGCCACGACTAATAAAAATCACTCCCTTTGAAGTCTCCTACAATTTAAAATAATAGAAGAATATTAAAATCCACTTTACACAAATTTCCAACAGTATATACTATTATTAAATCCCTCATAATTTAATTAAACTAAGCAGAAATTATATTTAAAACATCATTGCATAACACATAAAGAACATATAATTGTATCTTTGAAGCGTGATTCCACATACAATCGACCAAGAACAATGGGAGATAAGGAACCCTAAGCGTGATTCCTCTACTTAGTTCAAGGGTATAGATTAAACCTCCAATAATGTTATTTAGTTGTGATTAAACGTTTCAATCAACCTTCAATGGAGAAGAGAGGAACGAATGAGCCACGAACCACCATCATCACCACCATGAGCAACCACCTTGCTTGGGTGGTCCGTACCGTACGGACAAAAGGGAGGGAGAGAGAGGTGTGTGAGAGAGAGGGGTTAGGGTGTTTGGTTGCTTGCTTCACAATTTACTGTGTGAGTAAATTATGACTTATGTTAACCCTAGGCATGACCTCTATTTATATATCACATATGTTATTAAAGTCCACGTGAAGCCCAAACTCCTAACCTACTTCTAACTACACTAGCCCTACTCCTTACATGGCTTGTCATATCCTCATGAGGCCCATTAATGGGACTCTTACTTGTTTGACCCAATACCTTTGTTGTGTGACCTTATAGGATCCATTCTATAGGGTTTTGGACTATTTAATTAGCCCAAAGATCATTTGTCACATATAGCACCAGACAATGACGGCCCTATAAAATCAACTAATTATCTCCATAATAGTGATCCTTCATATATCTAGTAATTGCACTTATCGAAAACATAATTCCTTCACTACAATCAACACAACTCTCACCATTTGCACGTATTCCTTACCACCCTCCTTATGTTTTATATTTAAATCCCCTATGTAGTTGTGAGGTCGAGTTGAATATAAACCATACCTTCTATTACGCAAGTTATGATGATACAGACACGAGGAATGCGATTGCCATATACGGGTTATGTTGGCATTCCGAGTACCCTTACTTGACACTACTTGAACTTGGCCCACAAACGGAGTTCAAAAAGGATGTTTATTGCTTAATGTTTTATCTCTTGGACGTGTTCAAGAGGCCTTTCATTTTTTACATGGTGAAGTTGAAGAAAACACTTGTAAAGTGCATGATACACAAGCGTTGGTACAAATGGATTACAAAATTCTTTATCACGTTTAAGTCATTAGAGGCTTGGTAGGAGGATGTTGATGACCATCTTGAGAAGATTGTCCCCCAATCAGGGAGATAGGGTATTATTATTTTGGGGCGCAAGTTCTCTAGAGAAAATGGAATAGGTCTTCTTATTGCTGAGAAGGTCAACATTACATATGAGTGCGTAAATTTATCTCATGAGAATTTGAGACATGAGTTCTAGTGGCAGATTAATGACGACAAATTCCTCGAGTTTAAAAACATGATGATTGAGGCTAACGGGTTAGATGTTATGCACAACATGGAAATCCTTCTCACAAACTTGTACTTGTTTAATCTACATCCCAAAGACTACTGGTTTCGTGTGGATTATGCGGTGAAGAAACTCCATGACCGGTACTTCTAGGATATGGATTTTAGCACTGACTCAAGCTACACCACTAGAGATATAGATGGGAGTGAAGAAATCTAATCAAACGACTGTACTGGTTTGCCTCTTGTTGGTATCCCCAATATACCATTGTAGTACACGTTGATATCTATGCCTTTCTCATTGGTATAATAACTTAAATTATGGTCTTTGCTTTGTTTTAAATTATATTTTGGGCTCTATTAGCTGGCTTGCAAATTTATTCAGCCATAGTTTTCTACTTTATTTCAGGGCCTAGCTTATTTATGTTTAATGAGAAGTTTGTTATTATGATGTTATCTTTTAAGTAATTTTAGCGTAGTTATGTACTAAGGTAATCTCCTTTAAGGTATTTATGTTACAATGTTTTTGTGTAGTAAGGTAGTTATGTTACGATGTTCGTATGGTGTGTGAGATGTTTTAATTTTAGAAATGCGTCACTGAATAATCTAGCTACATTAGTATATTAGAGATAGCTTATCCCATTACATAGTTCATCCCATTAACAACTACATTAGTATATTACATAGCTTCTGAATACCAACCAGTACGACGACGTTGGTATGTACTGTTCTACACATGCAATATAGAATAACATAATAAGACGACGAACGACCTTCAATTTGCCAAACCCGCGTTTGTGATACGAAATGAACAACATCGCCCTTGCATCGAGATGTCTGTGCTCTTCACCACCAACTAATCTCGATACCATGCTTCAGTATTATTGTCGTATTGGTTCGAAATGAACATCTTGTTCGAAATCAAACTGTCCCAAGCAGTGCCTAGTGAGGCCTTCACTTCTCGGCCCGAACTATATGTGCTTCCGGTCGCTTTGATTGCGTTGTAAAAAAATTTGTAACCTCGTTAACCACAATGAACGTAATATTATACTTACTTGCTATGTCTTTTATTTTTATTGTTACAACCACTAACATTCGTTTATGCCCAAAAAAAATCTTTTGAAGTGTTTTCGTGCTCACGTCTAAACCGATAAGCTATCGAATAAAAAACAACAACCCTCGTGTGGATGCATCCTTCGTGGGAGTTTACCACCATTAGCTTAACTTGATTCAAAACCAAGAAAATCTGATGCACATTGTCAATTTTTTTACATGTACAAAGCTAAGTGGGTTTTCATCTACTAATTGAGAGGAGGGACACAAATGTACACTTAGCTAGTTTAGTTTCTGAACCGGGAAAACTGGACATGCTTGTATGTATATGGATGATCTATAAAGTCCACCATTCTGCAGTTTCAACAAGCACATCAACAAAAACTGCAGACATATTTGGGCTTTGCCCACCCCATATTTGATCACCGTATATTTCAGTCACTTCACCTGTACGAATGCCGACATCCAGCATGAAATCTATTCTTCCACATTTGGTGTGACATTTTTGATTCATTTTATAAAAATATAATATGTGTTTGAATCAAGTCCATAATGTATATATATACATAACATATCTTAGTGGATATGTGAAGAGAATCTTTATGGATTACATTATCCATAGTACAATTTTTTTGGATTGCAGATGTACAATAATAATATGTTGCAAATTGCTATTGTTACATGTACTCTACAATGATACCATTCGATCTCTTACAAGTATGTTAATGAAGATGCCTTTTATACAATGGTACCATTCTAGCTCTAACTGGTATGCTAATAGGAAACCATTATATCTCTTATTAGTATGCTAATAGGATACCATTCTGACCAAATTGGTATTAAATGAAATACCATCCCAAGCCCAAGTTGGTATTGGGAAATTTACATCAACTCCATATCAAAACAAATTATACTACAACACCTGACTGTTTTTATACAAATCAGTTAATTATTAAATGATTTGAATCTTGTTGCAAATTATGTACGGACGGGTTTGTCGAAAAGCTGTTGTTAAATTCATGGCCTGGTTGAGCGAAATGTAGTTGATCTTGGTACACGTTGTTGGTGAAGTACCTAACTGCTTCACTGTGCTCATTCATGTGAATTCCACCAGCTAAAATCCTTCCGTTAGTTAAACGCTGAGGGGCCACTTCCATTGCTTGCTACGTGGTTCAACATATGTATTTATTAGTACCTTAAACACTATCTTATGGCTTTTTGTTAAAAAAAAAAAATACTATGCTGCATATATTAGTACCTTCTAGTACCATTACTAAAAATATGAGTTCATTTGTTGAGCATCCAACATATTAGAAAAAGGAACCTGCAAATATTCAGTTAGCTTTTATAACTAAGAAACACCCCTGACAGTATACATTCAACACACTTAAAACGCTACACTTACCTTGTTTTGCAAGCTGAAGGGGTGTACAGTCCCATAGTCATTATCCACATTAGTCTCATGCCCCGTAACCTGTTTCTCCTTACCTCCTGTCTTGGCAATCTCAACCTGTTTATTCGAACCCCTTTTTTCTGCCGGGTATATGAACCGAGATCCTCTAGGTCTGCCTTTTTTATTATCCCGGGGTTTAGGGTCTTTCACACATGAATTAGGAGTGTCTTCTGGTTGTGCAATGCTACCTTTGTTACCTGAGCTAGGGGCTTTTAGAGTTGGAGGATTAGCCTGTTTCACCACCTTAAGATCACAACTAGGCCTTTTATCACCGCTAGAACCTTGGCCTGAACCTTGAGCCAACACTTGTAGTTCATCAACTTTGATGCTCATTAACTAAATCATGTCCATTCTTCTTAGAGCCACTTTATTTTAATGCGATATTGTATGATAGGTTCCCTATATAAACCCCAACCCTACAACCTTTCTACTCATCAAGCTTTCATCACTCTTCAAGCAAACTTAAGATAAAACTTAAGTGTATAAATCTTTTGTTTGTTACTAAATATATAATCTTTCAAAGAAATGGCGACCACTCCATCTGTTCAAGAAATCCGAAACTCTCAAAGAGCTGATGGTCCAGCTGCCATCCTAGCCATCGGAACCGCTAACCCAGTTAATGAAATGTTACAGGCTGAGTATCCCGACTTTTACTTCCGTGTTACTAAGAGCGAGCATATGACTGATCTCAAGCAAAAGTTTAAGCGCATGTTTAAGTAAAATTATTCTCAATCTTAGCTTCTATGATCTATTATCGAGTCATCATCTTGTAGGTCGTAATTTACAACTAGCTACTACATACTATACAACTAAAATTATTCTATCATATAACATCTTGGCGTCTTCTATACCATGATAATAATACATCTGTTCTTAATCTACTTATTACTCACTGTCATAAATTATACAACCAACATGATATTCAGTTTCTAATTAGTAAATATCAATTACGTAGATTAACTTAATTATAAACTTCTTTATATTGACCTAACAATAATCCATTAAATTGGATGTAAACAAGACCTCAACAACTTCTTCTTCTGATGAAGCACGCATAACAACAGGTTCAAGAGCTAGCATCAAATTATCATATCTCATCACCTCTTCTGTTTTGGAGGCATCATGATAAGCAACTTTGGTAAGGGTATGTTTCCTACTAATATCATTTCTCCACCTATCTAGAATGTACATGGAAGGGATCTCAGTAAAACCATTCATGTCCAAGACCTTTATTATGTGTCTACAAACAATCCCATGACATTCAAAGTGGCGACAATCACAATACGCCTCTTTTTTCTCCGTGTTATACAAAACTCTATACTCATCAACCTATTTTGTAGCGGTACTTAGCTTCTCTCCGTGTTATACACGATCTGAGAAGACATGCTTTTCCTCATTATATGCCACCATCTTCTTTGGCCTGACAAGGGTCACATATGCCACACGGTTGCACTGATTTTGTACTTCGATAAATTTGCATCCGTATATACTTTTTGAAATTTACATTCTTACTGAAATTATGATAATAAAGGCCTTACATAACGCGCCGAGTTTGCATCCGCATCCTCCTCATAATTTGCACGACTTCCCATCGCCTTGCAATAATTAGGAGCAAACTCGGATAAGCGAGTGTGCTTGTTACTATACCCATCAAAAAATTTGTTGATGCTCTCGACCCTTTGAGTTGTTTGCATTCCTGCCCAAAAGACATTTTTAACGTACGTGGGAGTCCACATCTCTCTTTCCTCGAACATCCCTACTACCAAACACAAACATCATACATCCAATCAACATCTAGCATTCCTAATAGAGCATTGTCCAGCTGGTAATGGATACATCAGAGACACCCACAAATAGGGATGGCAACGGGTCGGATCTGGACCCGATCCTAAAAGATCCTGATCTAGATTCGTTTTTCTGCCTAAGATCCATATCCGACCCGGATCCGTCGGGTATAAAAAATGAGGATCCATATCCAGATCCGTCGGGTCCTATGGATCCGGGTCCAAAATAAATCTAGCAATAAATTAAATAAGTAAAAAAATTAAACCAAAAATGACTTTATTTTACAAATTTCACTATGCTTAGCTATACGAGTATATTTCAATGATTAAACAATTCTATCAACAATATTATCTAATTCACATTTATCAAACATCCAACTTATAATCATAAAATATAAAACTCAAGGAACAGTTGTACTGCACAATTTAGCATATGTAGTTCCTTGAAATAGTAATCACAAACTCATATCTAATAACAAATTCATGACTATCAAAAAGGAAGGAGCAGTCATGACAGCCATCATCGGCAAACCGGCATATCAAAACTAGTGTTGAAAACAGCAACATCCGAGTGAAGAGTCAGCATCCGAGTGAAGAGTCACCACTTGGAGTGCTTAATACGGAGAGCTACAATTGCTGCTTGTTTCGGCCAATATATATCCGAGTGAAGAGCCACCACTTGGAGTGCTTGCTGGTGTCAAATCGTTCAATTTAATTGTCGCTGGGTTAGGATTTAGGGGTAGAGAGGGAAAATTAGAGGTAGAGAAACAGTGTGCTAGATTTAGTTTGGTTTTTGAGAGATGTAATTAGTGTTAAGGGGAGTCAGTGAGTGTAGTCCGTGAGGTTTGTGGGCTTGTAGGCTGGGCCTTAGGGTATGGTTTGCATCAAATTATTTCTTATTTTTAAGAACAAAACGGGTAAACGGATCTGGATCCGGGTCCAATATTCGGATCCAGATCCGACCCGGATCCGACGGGTCCAAAATATTAAGATCCATATCCGTAAAAACGGATATGGATCCACGGATCCGGGTCGGATACGGATCTATTGCCATCCCTACCCACAAACAACAGTGATTAACAGGGAACAAAACACACACCATCAGGGATGAATTTTAATAATTTAATTAACTTCTCACAATAAAATACCAATACACAAGGATGAATTACAAAGTCAAATGCAGTGTCAACATAAGTTCAAAATCATAATGAATATGGCATGGAAGCATGTGTCCACTACAAGTTAGATTTTGTCTATAAGATACCATCTAAGAATTTCAACCAAGATTCTGTCCATAAGATACCATCTAAGAACTTCAACACCATTTCAACTACACATCAGTATTAAACGAAGTACCATCCAATCTCACGTTGGTACAACCAAATATATAGTAGAACAAAACAGTATTAAACGAAGTACCATCCAAGCTCATGTTGGTACTGCCAAATATAGCAGAACAAAACAAAACCCACTAATCGAAACCAAACAGACACAATAAATCAACAAAGCATGTAAACAAAAGCAAAAATATAGAACCAAATAATCAGACCCAATAACTCAAAATACCATGGACAATAACATTAATTAAAGCAATTCAGATCACTGACGTTCCAGCCAATCATAACACTCAAATTCTTTTAGCTTGAACTTTTTCACAAATTCTCACCAATACTCAACAAAATCCTCCAAGGTAATGCTATTGTAGATCATATGGTGCAACTCCTCTTTGACATCCTGATAGTTAGACAAAGCACCAAGTTTCTGCCCAAACTTCTTCATAATATGCCACATACATGACCGATGGCATGTTTGAGGCATGGGAAAAACAGCTCTAATTGCCTTCCTCATAGCCGCATCCTGATATGTCATGATCGCTGCCGGGGCCTTGCCTCTCATACATGACATCCAAATCCTGAATAACCACTCAAAGGTCTCTGCATTCTCATGAGAAACCAACGCACACCCAACCAGGATAGTCTGACCATGGTGATTGACCCCTACAAAGTTCGAAAACGAAAGTCCGTACTGATTTGTTAGGTACGTGGAATCAAAACATACGACATCCCCAAAATACTTATATGCCTTCCTACTCCGAGCATCAGCCCACACATTATCTTTCAACCTCGATCCCCTTCTCATCAAGGAGATGCATGTGAAAAAAAAATTGATTATCGACACTCATCCTATTAAAATAGTCCAACATAGCCGAGGCATCACCAATTTTTAACTTCAACCTCCTCTTTCTATTCACCAAATTGTGCATATCTTTTTTAGTGAATTCCATATTGACAACACAATTTCTTTGGCTTTATTGTTGTAATTCTGCCCTATCAGAGCACCAGATCCATGGTCATTTTCAATCTTATGCTCCAAATGCTTTGTAATATTCTCCTTCCTGTACATAGCTATGCGTTTGGACAATTTAGGACTCACTACATGATTGTGCTCATTGACATCCTTCTTTATCATCCAAACACCTTCAACATTACCTTGCCCGTAAATCAAAATTGGACAATTGCATTTTTTTAGTCTTCTTCAGTACTGGTACTTCCTTAACCACAACTTTTACCATTAACCCTCATTTTGTATGTTGTCTTCCCGTAGCACTCATACTTCCAAACATAAGTGCGATATGAATTTGACTTTCCCGCATTTTTGGAGGTTTACTTTCCACCACCTATACACACAACACCAAATCCTTCTTACCTCCCATAATCACGATAAAACTTATTCATTTCATTCCAAGTGCTTAACACCATTCACACTTTTAATTGAGGTAATGAAGTACCTGTCCAACTGTCTGACTCCTTTGAAGCTCCAATATGACAACCCACACTACAATATTCATTCAAGTCAATTACTGTCCCTAGTAATGCCACCCTACATGATAACTTTGTGAAAACCATCAGCTAGTGGCTCCTTATTCAAGTCAAAACCCTCCTACCCATCATCATTCAAAACTCTTTGTGAACTTTCATCACTGTCTGAGCTATCTGAGCTACAACCTATTGAGTCTCCCTCTATGACATGGTACTCACAGGCATTCTGCTTATGGGAACAGAACAACATCAATTAGGGAGACAAAATTCTCACAACAACAACTAACAGCAACCACAGGAGCACTAATCAAGCTAATTTCCAGTAGAATCATTCAATTAAATCCAACGAACCATGAAAAACACAGCAGGAGCAACATTCAATCGAATTCCCAGTACAATCATTCAATTACAATAAGCAAATTTAGAGAACAATTTCATAACACCACAACATGAACATAAGCAAATGTAGAAGACAAATTTCATAATACCACAACATGAGCATCAACACAATTTAGACAACAAGCATTTAATTAGATGACACAAATTCAATTGTCCAAAAATCAAACCAATTAAGCACAAATAAATCGACAAATTAAAAATAGATCGACAAATCCAAAACAATTGCATGTTGTTCCTCCCTTTTCCAATTTCAGCAATGACCAAGTTTTGAACAAATAATAACTAACCTCAATAATTTCACTTTCTCTATTCACACAAGCGCCATAATCCATTTTCGCAAACTACTCAGCTCTCAGCCAAACTCGTCTCTTTCAGCTGCGGTAATCAATTTCTGAGTCTTCATCAATAATCCAGCTTCACAACTCCACTCAGCTCGGCCAAACTCGTCTCTAAATTTTGGGATTACTTCGTTTTGCTTTGTCAAGCTTCAATAATCAATAATTGGGTCCTCTTCGATTATTTTTTTTTGGAAAGCTTTAGGGAATAACTTACTAATTTCATTATTTTTTGGTGCAAAAATTGGGAGGGAAAAAATTGGTGAGAATTGGCTCTTTCTCCAGTCAATAATTTGAGTTGAAAGGGGGGTTTGTTACTGACAATGAGGTTCCCCCACTCCATATCATTTTTCGATTTTTTGGAGGATTTTATTTTGCTCCCCACCACTCCTTTATTGATTTTTTTTTTGAGGATTTTATTTTCCTTTTTTTTTCCTATATAAGTTGAGTCCAATTGGCCTCAAGTTAGTTGAGGATGAGAAATTCTCATTATTGACAGCCTGATCTGATTAAATTACCATTTATTGCCTTTTATAGATGTACCTTTCACTTTATTGTGGATATGTAATCATTTTAACCCTTGATAATATATCAAGGTGAGAAATTAGGTGCGACTCGTAATCAAAGACATCGCTAAGTTACTATGTTTTATAATATTTACTTGCATTTTTTTTAAAAGTAGAGATCTGATCACCTCGTTGTTAAAGGATGGGTCTAAAATAAATTAATTACTCAAATTTTAATTAGTTGACAAAAAATAATAATGCTTTATGTATTGCTTTACATGTTTTTAATTGAGTCTAATTTCATATTGTTATCTTAATTCCTAAAGCCATCACCGCATAAAAGATAGTTTTGATGAAGTTTTCTTAATAAAATTTATCTTTATTCAATCTCAAATCTGGCATAATTTCCCAAATTAACAAGTACCAATACGACCATATGACATTGATTTCGCAGTCTTTGTAGTTAGTTGATGAGATTGTAATTTCTTTATTACTCCACCTTGTTGAACATTGATTTCCTAGTCTTTATAGTTAGTTGATGAGATTATTATTTCTTTATTACTCCACCTTGTTGAACATTGATTTGGTAGTTTTGGGCAGGATCTAATTTAATGTTATTCTAAATTAATCAACCAACCTAACCACACTATATTTAATTTATCACACATTTTCCTTTTTTTTTTAATTTTTACGTTTCAACAAAACACACTCACTCTTCTTCAAAAAAAAAAAAAAAAAACTCACTCCACTAATTAATCTCAGACACCTTTTCCGACCAATCTTTCTTCGTGTTCTTCTTCTTCACAAATCAACCAAAATTCAGCAAACCCTAATTTCCGATGATCTTCCCCAATTTCTTCACGATGATCACCACAAACTCATTTCTAATCTACTTCAAAAACTAATTGAATCAATACTAGTAATAATCTGGACAGAAACACCTATCTTTGATCATTTGGATTTGTTGATTGAAGAAGAAAGTTTAAAAATGGCGTGGGAAATTCCATGTCAAGAAGCTACTAAATCGAAGCCATTATTTGTTACTATGTATGCTACTGTGATCATCGGAGTCATCTTCTCTTCATTCTATGTATTCTCTGCCATTTACTCGACTGATTCTCCTGATGCTCGAATTTCTCTCTCCTCTTCAACTTCAAGTAATTTTCTTTATCTTGATTTTTTTTTGGTTTATTTTATCAGCTCATTGTAGTTTTTGAATTACTTTGGTGTATATTAAGATTAAGAATTTAATGCATTCCAATTTTGTTATGTTTGTGCTTTGATGAGGTTAGAGTGTAGTATGTGTTAGATTAATGTATTCATATGATGTGATTATTAATATGCTGTTAATGTGTTATTCGTGATCTTTTGAATTAGAGATTGATATTAGGGAGTTTTAATTGATATGCTTTTAAGGAATGTATTTTGATTGATTTGGGATAAGTGAATTGAGTGATGAGGGGGTGCATTTTGGTATTTGAGGTATAGGAATGCATCGATAATAAGATTTCGATGATGTGTTTGCTTTGGGTTTTGGTTGTCGTACTTGTCGAACATCCCTTTGATTGTAAAATTAGACTATGCTTTGTTTGTGGCTGCCTCGTATGAGCTTGTATCGAAGAAGACTTGTTAGAAGAAGTTTATTGGTTGGGGTTCAGTCCCTTGTATAGTTACTTTGTTTTAGAAGAGGGATTCACTTGACCTTCTGTTTACGTATAATTCATGTGTATTAAGCGTGTTTTGAGTGATGGTAATTTTTACAGTGGTGAATTTATCATCATGCAGATGTATTGTTTTGGACTATGCTTTATTGAGAGATGAACGTAAAAAAGGGTGGTAATTGGAGTAAAGGAGAGATATTCGAACTTTAGTGGTTCTATTGTCAGTCAATAATGTGGAAAAAGTTACTAGAATTTGAAATATTCCCGCTGTATGTTTTAGAAACCTAGGCTTTCATGTTGTACATTAGATAGATAATTGGATAGGCATGTTGAACTGAAACCGAATGGTGTAGTGGCACTATGTTCTAAATTTGTTTTTGTTCATGATACACAGATTGTAAAAGTGAGTGATAGAATAGATGAATGACCTTGCTTTTAGAAAGGGCCAGGTTGAGAGTAACTGTGTACATAGAAATGACACAGGTTTGCTTTAGTCAAGAGAAATAAGTAACATGCATAACTTCGTTGAATGTCTAAGGTGAAGGCTTTATTCTCTATCTTTGGGCAGGTGCGAGGTGTCAGAAATTTCAATATAACGAAAACTGTTTTTAGGGTGAAGGAGATGGGGGTGGGTGGTAGCCGGTTGGGGAAGACCTTCTATGGAGATTTGAGCCAAAAACATTTTATTCTCATCTAATGGAGTCTATTTGTGTGACAATGGGTGGATTACCTTGGTTTGGGTGCCTTAAAAAAATCTTTTCTATCTAACCCATATTTTGTGTGCTCTATGTTTTCATGAAAAAGCAAATAATTGTATGAAAGGTGAATTAATAACTTAATTAGATATATCTGTGTTATGAATATTTCAGGAGGAGATTCTTCTCTAGAAGCACCAAACTCTTCTCTGCCGACAGGTTTAAGCACGGGTTCAGTTTTTCCAGTCAATCCTCAGAGCGCATCTTTGAAGCCTATATGGGAGTCTCCTAAATCTAAGAAAATGCCACCTTTGGATTCCTTCCGGTTGACGAAAGATTTGGTGGGTGAGAGAGTGAAAGATAATGTTATTATAGTCACATTTGGAAACTATGCATTCATGGATTTTATTTTGACTTGGGTTAAACACTTGACTGATTTGGGTTTGTCAAATCTCCTAGTTGGTGAGTTCTTTCAACCTCAAGTTCTTGCTTGAACAACATGTTTCTGGATCAAAATCATTTTGAATACTTTTGTTGAAACCTGGAATTACTTATAGAGAATCTTCCAGTGTTTTTTTTTTTTTTGCTATGTAATATACATCCATCCTTATTTAATAAGTGGGCTGCTACGCTGCTATTGATTTGGCCTCACTATTAAGCATTCTTAAAGGATTTCATGATTTCTTTTTTACTAATCTTAAATACCCCGGTGCTATATGTAAAGCTTTCACTGGTCAAATGTACAACGTGTTGCTTGATCCTTATAATCTTAGAGTTCTTTTTAGATACCCTTTTGACTAATCTGCTATTTATTAAAATAAGACTAAGTACTAGTAAGTGAACCATTTTCTAGTCTTTCTTGACCCAAAGCAAAAAATAAACTGATGTAATGATGATGTATTTTTAGTTCTATTGATGCAAAAAATATATGCTTAAGTGAATTTATGTTACTTTAAGTGAAGACCATTCTAAATAAATAAAATTTCACATATTTATGGAAACTCTTCTTTTCTTTTCAATTTTTTTTTTTTTTTTTTTTTTTTGGCTTTAATAGGATTTAAATATCTACTTCCTCCGTTTCTATTTAGTTGATGCGTTTGATTTAGGCACATATATTAAGGAGAGGAGAGAGAGTGAGAGAGAATGAAAAAGCAAGTGGGGTGGCTTGTAAATGCAAGGTAAAAAAGTTACCCCAAAAGGAAACGTGACAACTAAAGAAAAACTTCCTAAAAAGGAATACGTGTCAACTAAAAAGAAACGGAGGTAGTATTAGGTACCTATATGCTGGAGCTTGTGTAGCCCTATCCCCAAACAACACATGCAAGTTTCCCACATTGATTAAAGTGTAGAGTGTTTTTCACTTTGTAAGGCCAAGAGGCTACTCTCTTTATTTCCATATGATATTAAGGTAGAACTTCTTTCAGTTTCGTAAAGGGGACTCTCTCTTGATGGTGGGTATTCTTGTGGCTTATATCTAACTACCCTAGATGTGAACCTTCTTATACCCTCTGGTCTAGTTGAGGTCAAATTAAATGGATATTACATGTGAGGTTGTGAGTTAAAAGCATGCTTCAGCCCTATGAAACATCACATGTGAGCTCTGTGAAAAAAGGGACTTCAAATGTGAGGGTTAGTGTTGAAGATTTTATAGCTCTATCCCGAATGTCACATGTGAGTGTCTTATATAAATAAAATAAGAGATAGTTTATCACTTTACAAGGCTAAGGAGCTACTCCCTTATTGCTATTTGGTTTTATGGTGAACCTCCTTTGGCTTTGTAAAGTAGAATCTATCTCTTGATCATGGGTGCGGCCATACTTAACAACACATATGCTATAATGCTAAAACCATATCCTAAACTTGGCTTCCCATGTTCATGCTAGGTGTCTTTATCTTTAACTAAATTAATCACGTTAGGAAGTTACAAAGCATTGTAAAATATAAAATGTACAATCTATCTACTAGTATTAGTCAATCACTCATTATTGAAGTATAAAAGAGTATGCTATGATTAAAAAGAGTATGGTATGATTAATCACTTTATTGAAGTATTTTCATGCCAGGTGTCTTTTTCTTTAACTAAAACTAAATTAATCACTTTAGGAAGTTACAAAGCATTGTAAAATATAAAAGATACAATCTATCTACTAGTGTTGGTCAATCACTCATTATTAAAGTATAAAAGAGTATGCTATGATTAAAAACTACAATACGGAGTAGTTAATTTCATTTATCTATGTACTCCCTTCGTCCACAAATAATCTTCCATTTAAGTTTGTACACACATAATAAGAACTATAGTAGGGTGGATTTAGAATGTTAGAGAAATAAAGCTAGGAAGATTTTTTGTGTACATCTTAAATTGAATTCAGGAAGATTATTTGTGAACGGAGGGAGTACATTGCTAATTGAATTAGCTAATAAAGTCCACATATTTGTGGAATTGGAAACTTACAATTTTTCATATAAAGCAAAGGTATATCAACACACACATTTTCCTATTTTAACCTGTGCATGAAACAGGTCATAAATTAAGTTTTTCATGAATCTAGTGAAGGATTCAGACATTCAATCATAAGCAGTTAGGAATATTGGAACAGGAATAACTTTTATGAATATTTAGGCTGGTTTGAATATATACTGATGTTTGGAAATGGTTTATTCATCAATGTTAACTATGTGTGTTGGCCTGTTGGGGTGGGGAGGGGGGGGGTGTGTGCGGATGGAACACGTCACAGAAGACATTTTTTACCTCGTCACAAATCA